CCCTTGCCAAAGCGTGGCAGTGCTGATCCAAAGGCTACAACCCGCAGACCTGTGCGGTTAGCATTGCAACACCGAGAGCCTCTCCCGCGTTCTCTCCTCTTCTCTGAGACTCTCACTCCCCTTCTCTCTGGACTCTCTTCCTCCCCATATGCCTCTTATTCACCTTTCGTTTGTCCCATCCCCGCCCCCTGTCTCTGTGTCGCAATCTGCCTACATCTCCCTTCCTGACCCTCCCCGTTCCCAGCTGCCGGGCTCTGGGGAGCAATAACTCCTTTGTTTCCCGGTTTGATGGTTCTCCGTATACAATCCTCTCCAAAATGGAACAACGAGGTCCAATTCCAGAGGGAGGGGGAGAAGGAAAGAAAAGGAGCTTGCACGCGTCAACTGGATTCTGGAATCCAGATACCTCCAGAGTAGAATGGGGCTGGGGAAGCAATCTGTGTACAGTACAGGGGAAGGGCATAAGCCCGGGGCACGATGGAGTGTTAGAAAAGAAGGATCAATATGCTGTCAGGTTGGATGCTAAAAAGGGGGTTTTCACCTGAGGCTGTTGAAGGTCTTCATGTAGCCTGCGTATCCAGCTCAACTGGAGTTGATCCTGCAAGCCTTTACTTTGCCAGGGGAGAAGGTATGGATCAGCAAAGGGGTCTTCCGCCTTTGTATCCATGACTGATCCCAAGAGCTTTGCAAACTGTCTGTGCTGGAATCGCTTCCCCTACCTTTGAATGTAGCCATCTCTGGCCAGTCAACACAGCAGGTTAGGAGAGGAAGTAAAGACAGAGAGACTGTGATTATTTAAAACTGCAGGGGGAGTTTAAAGAGGCAGAATGGATTTGCCCCCACTGGAATTTAGCCAAGATACTCCAACTATTGCCAAAAATGTTATTGGATCTTTAATGACCACAAATCCGTGAGACGTTTTGCATCTCCTCCAGAGGTAGCATCAGAATACTCTCCCTTTTGTGGAGTGGGTGATCTCCCATGAAATGCGAACTCTGTGGTAGGTAGGGTTTGTAGCTGGAGATGGACTGGGCTTTTGAGGGGACCTGAATTTTCTTTCCATCCAGAGTGTTCCGTGTTAAATACAAAAATCTTCATAAGTCTAAAGAAGCTCCTTGCTTTAGCCATTGGAAAGCAGGTGGGGTGTGCAGCTTGTGAAATAATTGGGAACAAATGCCAAGTGAAGTCCCCAACTCTCCCATCCAGAAATGGCATTTGCAGAAATGGAAATGCAGTCACTGCTGGCCCGTGGGCCCTACTAGGCGGTTACGACGTGAACACGAGTGCCTGACAGCATCACTCATCTCGCAGTTCTGGAGGGAGCACTTTGGGTGGGACTGAAGAGTCTTCCCCATTGACACTTCCACAGTCCTGTGAAAGAGGAACATCCTGAGAGGCACCATTTCTGTTGGAAAGCCCGTCTGAATGTCTGGGTTTGTGTTTAAGTAGAGTGTAGGAATTGCCAGACTGGATCAGATCCCAGGTTCATCTAGTCCAGTGTCATGCCTTTGATAGGGGCCAGATCTAGGTGCTCCAAGAGAAGATGTAAGCCTCCTGCAACAGCCGATGTGGGGTAATCTGCCCCCATGTTAAGTCTCACCTCTTTTCTGTAGGTAGAGATGGGCTTAAGCCCTGAAACATGAAGGCTTTAGCTCCCTTGCAAAATTCTTATAAATATAACTCTGGATATTCTTGATTATTCACATAAATGTCCATCGCTACTGAATCTTGTTCAGGCCTTGTCCTCAACAGCTCCCTGGGGCAGTGAATGCCACAGTCTAATTATGTGTTGTGTAGAAAAAGATATTTCCTTTGATCAGTTTAGAATTTCCCCTCTTTTTAATATCATTGAATGCCCCCTTTGCCTTGTTCTTATGTTGTGTGACAGGGAGAACACAAGTTCCCCATGTATTTTCTCTAGACACGGCATTTCTAGAGAGGATATCATGTCTTCTCTTAATATCTCCTCTCTAATCTAACAATCCCCATCTTTTCAGACTTTTTCCAGCCCTTGGTCATTTTTGTCTCTCTTCAGTGACCCTCGGGTCCCTTTCCTGAACTGATAGTTAATTTAGAACCCTGTTAGATATCTGAGTAGCTTAAATTTTTCCTCCCAATATCCATTGCTTTGTATTTATCAAATTATTGAACTTCATTGGCTGCAATGTTGCACTTTCACCTGGAGCACAGTTAGTTTTGATGAAGGGAGCCGGACTAACAAGCTTGAAGGCCTCTATCTATAGACCGGGTTCAGCGGGGCAAGGGCAGTGGTTTGCCCGACATTACTGAAGATCTGCATGAGCTCCATTCACTCTTTGGCCTCTAGCAGTCATTTACAGGGTCTGCTTCCTCCACTGGTCCCATTGACACCATATCGATCCTCCTCTTTAATCTTTGCAATGACAGTCCCCCAACCACACTGCCGCCCATGGGGGAAATCTCATCCCCCTGCTGTTTGCAGCTGAGACTTTTCTGCAACGGTTGTTAATCTGGTTGTGTCCTTCTAGGCTGGCGGGTATTGAAGTCTCTCTGAACATTGGAAGCCCCTGCAAGGGTAGGGGAGCCTCTGGCTGCAATCCAGTATGAGAGCACTAGAGTGGAACGGCCCAGGAGAGTGGGAAAGCTGCAGGTTTCGGGCAGGGGAGCAACAGTGTGCAGCTCTCTTTAGATGATGCTTTAGAGAGTTGGGACAACTTGGAGTAAGGAGAAGAGGACCAGTGAGAGCTCCCTAATCCCTACCACAGGCTGGTTGGCTGTCAGAATGGCAGGGATTAGAGCTTGCGGTTCCTCCCACCTTTCCCTTCCTATTGATTTACCTCCATGCTAATTTAGACCTGTGGCCATGGTCAAAGGGGCTTGTTGCATACCTTCTGTGTCTGCAAAGCAAGGGGCTTCTCTTGTTTGTGTGTTTTTTTTTGTTTTTTTTTAAAGGAAAAAATCTCAAGAACCCAATTGCCCGCTTGACTGGTTCCCGAGCTGCTATTATGTTTCTAACCACAGTAATTGGCTTTAGTAGTTATTAATGGATTACGTTAAAGGGGGGGGAAAGACAAAACCCAACACCTAGCTTTGTAGTTCTAGGCTTCATTGACCAAAATGCTGCCTACGAAATTGGCGGTAAATTGCAGAGTTGTTGAAGTGACTCTTTTGTGCCGCTCTGTACTTAACAGAGTATTTCAGTATTTCCATTCTAACATTCTAACATAGTATTTCCATTCTAATCCTGGCTATTCTGTAAGGAACTGGCGGTGAGGGTTGGCATGGGGCAGGGAACCTGGTCCTTGAGTGTATCAGTCCAAGAGCATGTGATATTGGATCACGTCTGAAAAACAAATGCAGTGCTGATTTTTCTACGTTAAAGTGACATGGTGGCCACCATCAGTTACTTTAAAGAGGCGTTCCCCGACCTCCTGTAACTGCTGGAGTGTGTGCCGGGTCCCCACCCCTTCCTGGTAATATATTTGGTGGGTGCTAGTTTATGGCCAGGGGAAGGCTGGTCTTTCAGCTGAAACAGAGAGCGAGAAGATAGAGAATCCTGGGTTCCAATCCAGCTCTACCCCAGACTTGCTTGGTGACTTGGGCGAGTCATTTTCCCTTCTCCGTGCCTCCATTTCCCTTTCTCTAACATGGGGATAATAACACTTGCCTACCTCACAGAAGGCTGAAGATGAACTAATTAGTTTGTTAAAGTAGCCCGAGACCCTCTCCCAGGTGGAAACTGTGATTAAATCCAAGGGATTTCTTAAAAAATTATTCTGGCTATTTAAACAGCTTGGCTGTTCACAAACACCTGGTTCCTTATTCCGGTTTGTCCTTTCAGCTGCCATGCATCCTGTGCCAGCCCAGAGTACATTAAAGCTCAGCTTGATACCAGTCTGGATTTAAAGGTGTGACTCCATTCCCTGCATTTGAGCTATGCCCATCATTGTGATTTTGGTAGTTTGTAACAGATGAGACCTTCTGAAAGATAACTTGTAGCAAGTCTTGTTGTAAGTTGATGATTTTCCGGTTCAGGATGGAGGCTGGCACACAATGAGCAATATGGAGACTTGCCATATGACTGGGTTTCTGCAATTAGAGGTCTGGGATTGGGTCCTGCCTTATCGAATTGGTTCAAGACCAGGGATTGTAGAGTGACTTCTGGAGCCCAGAAGTACATCAGCGGGTCTGTATTCATCACATGAGATTTTTGAACTGACATTGTAGGAGAGTGTGAATGAAGCCAAGTTATATGGCAGGAGAGTCCAATCCGGTCTAGTGGTGGGTGTTTCTAACAGGCATCTGGCCTGTAGCTGCTGCGAAAGCGCTGCACGTTCTTTTTGCTGGCTGATTCCTGGCATGACGAGAAAGTAACCGGGGGGATGGGGGGGTTAATGCAGTGTTTATACACAGTTACGGTGAGTATTGTGCTGAGTGGCACTGTTGAGGATGCGCTTTCCCACGTATGTTATAACTTACAGCACTCCAGCTCTTCCAGTCCGCGGTCCCCATGCAGCTCTGCCAACGTTCCTAAGTCCTGACCTGCAGCATTCTCTGCTGTTCCAGTCCTGGGTTCCTCCGCAGTGCTGTGTGTCTTGGCCAACTCGTGGGGATCTGGGGTAGACATCCTCAGCACCAGCCATTCTTCTCCTTCAGATCCTTCCTCCCAACACTCCTTGGCCATGATGCTTCTAAAAAACGTGACAATGGTTAGGCTCCTGGTGTGCTGAGACCACTACCTGTCATGCTGACCAATGTTTTCTCATTTGTTCCTTGTATTCCCGTCAGTGTCTCTGAGTCCATCTGTTCTCTCTTGTCTTACGCTTAGATTGCAAGCTCCTGTGTTTGTACATGAACCTAGCACACGGCTGGGGCTCCTAGGCACTGTGATAATACAAACCGAATCACAACGTTCTGGGTGTCTCTGCTGTTTCTTGCCCTGAATGAAATGTTTTCCACGTAGCACCGCTCTTCTTCACACTCCAAAGGGAGATGGCTGATGCTGTTTTGTTTTTTGACAGTTCCTTCGTGACTGGGACAGCTTGCTGTGGACACACATCTCCTCTGAGAATCTGGGACTTAGAGAGGTAAGCATGCGGCCAGACCTTACTGTACATGTTTAATTTTTTGTGGGGAGGAGGAGAAATGCACAGCTGAGGCTGCCGGTAACCTGACTGTTCTCTGCGGTTTGCCAACTTGGTCATTTGTCAGCCATGGGGCAAAGGAAGGTGTGGAGGTGAGATCTCAAGAAAAGTGACTTTCAATCTCTCAGAATAAGGGGTGAGGGTGAGAGTTTCAGGGTAGACATGAGGCAACTCAGCTTGAAAGAAGGACCCCATGCCAAATGTGGAGCCAAGAAGGAGTGTGCAGAGAAGAGGCCAAGATTGGGAGCATGGTGATAATCGGGGTGCGGGAGAAGGGAGGGAGGGGAACTGATGTCAGAGACAAGGAGTGGGGGAATGACACAAACTTAAGATGGACATCTAAAGAACTTCCCCATGGAAAGTATTCCACATCCTAAGATCTCAGTCAGGAACTGAGACATGGGACTCTTAAAATGACTGGACAAAGCACTAGAAAACCGGTAATTGTGGATAATTCTGTATCAGCAAAGATGGGTTGGGTGATCTAAAAGGGCTTCTTCCACCTTTGTCCCCTATGAGCCTGTGAGCTTCAAACCTTATGCCTACTTAACCATGTCCAGTAACCTTTTTCCTAGCCATATCCTAGAGGGCAGGGTGTTTAGTAAATTGAACATTTCAGAAGCCCCTTGCTCTCATACAACTCCTGTATATTCTTCCAGCTTCTGAAGATAAAGAGAAAGACATGGATATCATACAGAGAGTAGGAAATACTCTCAGATTTTGTTCCACAGAATACAGTTCAGCAGAGATGGTGTGAAACTCTTTTTTCTGTACTTGAATTCTGGTGCTAATATGCAACTTCTTTGGTCCTGGAAGTCCCCTTCTTCCCCGGTGCTAGGGATTCAGCATGTATGTGGTCCAACGTTCCAGTGAAAGGGATTGCCTATCCTGTCCTGTTTTAGTACAAAGAACAGACTGGCTGCAATTTTTTTCTTGAGCAGATAAAGGAGAACCAGTTGATGTAGTTTATTTAGCTTTTTCAAGAACAAAGGGGGATATTCAATGAAATTAAAAAGGTGGGAAATTCAAAACCCATAAAAGGAAATACTTTGTAGGCATGCAATTAGCCTGTGGAACTCATTGCCACAGGAAATAATTGAGGCCAAGAATGTAACAAGATTCAAGAAAGGATTGGACATTTATATGAATATCAAGACTATCCAGTTATAATTCATTATAACACATTTAGGAAGGGGTATTAAAGCCTATTTTAAGGGCTTAAGTCAACCTCTAACTGTTAGAGAGCAGGATGAGATTTGGGGTCAGATTATTCCACATTTGCTACTGTGGTTTTCTTCCCCAGGAACATCTGGTGGTGGCCACTGTCAGAGACAGGTTACTGGCCTGGGTGGACCTGGGGTACGATCCAGTTTATCAATTCCCACGTTTGGAATAGCCCATAGCTGACAGAGATGGAAATGGTCACCGCGGCGAGCATCCCTGCCATGCTGAGTGTTTCCTACCGCCTATTCTCCAGCACTTTGCCTCGTCCCATTTAAACAGCCCAAGAAATGGGACTTCTACCCTTGCCTCTGGGAGATTGTCTCCCAGACAAATAGATCTCATTGGTGGGAACTGTTCCTTGATATCCAGCCGACATCTTCCTTTGCTCAGTTTCGTCCCAGCAGTCCTTGTTGTACCAGCCTGTGCCACAGGAACCAGTTCCCCCTCAGCGATGTCCATACTGTCTCCTGAACGTATGTGTAGATCTCGTATCATCCCTGCTTTCTGGTTGCTTTTTGGTCAAGATACACGTTCTGCACTGTCTCTCTCCAGCTACTGTGCCCTTTCAAGCAGTTGAGTTGTTTAGTTACATTTATCTGAATTCCTTCCAGTTTGCCAACATTTCTCTGCTGTTGAGATGCCGGGGCTGAGCACAGGGAAATGCGGAGCTCTCGTTCTGCGTAACACTTTCTGCTTGTAGTTCACCATGACAATGGGTTGAATAGTGATTTAGTAATTTTATGTGATCACCTAAATGTGTCTTTTCCTTCAGTCTTAATAAGCGGCAGAGGCTAATGGTCTGGGTCTCTGCACGTAGGTTGTTGGGGTGTAGTGCAGCCTGGTAAGGCACTGGCCTTAGGGCTCTGGACAGGCTGGGTTCCAAGCCTGCAACCGAACGCCACTGAAGGGAAGTTTGAGGTTGACAGCCTGGGGGGTCTCTGTGTACTGAGGAGTGAACAGCACACGTATGACAAGATCATAATAGCACAGCACAGCTGTACGTGATGGGTCTGGACTAGCAGGGAGGATGGTCTTGCATATCAGGATTGAGGGGTGCTGGCTGAGCTGAGGGTGGAGGGACAGCCATCCAGGACTGAAATGTCAGGTGGGCTGTGGATTAGGATTGAGGGGCATGAGCAGAGCTGGGTATGTGGGGACCCCAGGGCTGCGGAGATGGGTGGGGTGTGTGTCAGGACTGAGGTGCACTGTCAGAGCTGGGGGTTAGGTTTGGGGGCTGAGAGAGAAGCAATTCTGCCCTTTTATTTACAGACACTGTCTGTCACAGCTGGCTGTGGACGCTGCTATTCTATAGTTGTAGTTGATCATTTAAGTTTTCAGTTTTATTATATCTTTAAAGAAAAACAAAGGACCTGTCATAATTGATGCTGTCCAGAAATTAACCCTGGCATGTGATCTTTGGTGAACCGGGTGGTGAGCTGTTCAATTCCAGACTGAGGCTTAGATGCTGAGGGGATGGGGGCCCTTTGAGATACCGAAGGTGTGTGGACAGGCTCTGAGACCCTAGCTGGTGCTGTGGCCTCTTGTGCTCATGAACTTCTCCTGGCTGCTCTCGAATGGAAGCATCTGCCAGGAGTGAAGGGACAGGCTCCAGGGGTAAGGGTGTAGTCAATCCAACAGCCTGTCCTAGAGAAGCCCAAACAGATAATAAAACTGTGCAGAAAATAGGATTAAGGTAACGAACAGGCATGAAGGAGTTTGATCTTTCAATAAGGCCAAAGCCTGACTGACAGGCATATCAAAAAGCTGGGACAGCCTAGCCAATGGGCCTAGTGCATCGGGCCGATTCTTCCCTCTTCACCCATCCCAGCTGGAGTGCGACCGTGGGCCCTGTCTGTGGAGCATGCGGGAGATCCCCGGGGTGGATCTGAGAGCAGGTCTTCACCTGCCTCTGCCTCTCACAGTGACACCCCCAGGAACTCAGAGCATGGATCAGCCCCCAGTTGTCGTGTCAATGCTTCTGTTGTCCAACACTAAGCTGTGGTGGTCTCCTGAGAATTCCTGTTCCCTTGGGGTGGGTGGTTTCTTGAATTCTCCACAGCTGAGAGTTGGAACTTGCTACAAAAGATTTAAAGCTAAATAACCGGAGAATCCTCATCTTCTTAGTTCCAGACTGGATAAATCCTTGTCTGATACTTGTAGCTCTTGTTCTTGGCATGATGGTGTTCGGCCCTTTTCTGTTCTCTGGGGTGTCCTGTTGTGTCGCACTGAGGGATGGGGACTAGGACAATGTCTTCACCTGGAAACTCCTTCTGAGCCTTGCACAGGGTGGGCTGGAGTTTGGGGTGAAGATCTCTGTGGGGGAAGGAGAGGCCCTTCCTTCCCCACTAACTATCTTTACTTCCGAACAGGGTCAGCAGGTGGCATCGGACCAGAGCAGGAGAGGCAATTTGCAGAACCGAGTCGAAGGCAGGGGAATGACTCTTTAATGCCCCGTCACTGGCTTCTGGCTGACACTCCAGCTGCAGGCACACACCTGGTCCTTTCACCTGGCGTGACTAAGAGCTGTTGTTCCCGAACGAGTATTTTGAGGCTGTCCCTTAGACTCTGTCCTTTGGGACAAAGACACGACATCACGGCATCTTAACGCCTTGTTCTGTAGTGGCTGGAAGTCGCCCTGTTGCTTGACGCTATTGCCACTCTGGTCCCAAAGGTGTTTGGGGAGGCTCTTAGTGCCCTGCAAGCTCACCTTCACAGATGTGGGACGATCGGAATTACCCAACGAAATTCTTGGATGGAAATCCTGGCGGGTCGCTCCACTCAGCCTGGTCTGAGAGCACTGGGGATGCTCCAGCGCCGTCCTAATGAGAAATGCTCTTGTTTTGTGGCCAAACTGAGGGCAAAGAACGTACGGTAGGGAACAGGCCTGCCTCCGCCAGGACTAGATGCTCCGTAGCATTGGTAATTCTGAAGTTCTGCCTCGGGAGGCGGGCTAGGGCTGCTATCCAGATCGTCCTGACTTCTAACCCCAGCTGTCCCACTGATTCCCTCTGACTTCCCTTTAGCAAGGCACTTGACCTTTTTCTGCCCATTATGGGGTATGACCCTTCTGGCCTGGTTCCATGTGGCGTTCCCTCTCTATTCCAGCCCTCCAGCTTCCCATGCCCGCTTCGTGTTAAACCCTGCCCGAAAACTTGCTTTTTCAACAGGTGCTAACATGGCTCATAAAACTACTGCTGCCAGCCCATTTGAAGGGCAAGGTGCTGTGGGATGGAACCTTCCTCGGAGTCTCCCAGCACACTTGGTGTAGATTCTGAACTCCTTGGGATGTGGCCCAGGACTGCTTCTCTGTCTGGAACAGCACTGAGTTCAGTATCGCTGCTCAGCAAGTAAGGAGACCCCGGGTCATGACTGGCCCAATCACACCTACTCCCTCTGGGATTGTGAGGCATGATCTGTTCCACAGCTTTTTAGAACAGAAACCCTGCCTGCCTCCAGGCATCGCCATCAGCTAACCCCTTGGGCAGGTTATCCAAGATCCGTCCTTTCTGGGGTTCTCTGCACCGGCCTAGGGAGCAGCGGGTTCCGGAGGGACCATTGTTCTGATCCAGTATGGCTGTCCCTGTGTCCTGAACACTTGGAATTTGCAAAGCACCACGCTGTCCTTTTGTAAACCTGCAGCGTGCTACTCCCCCAGAGGCACATGGGCCCTGAAACTCAGGAGAAGGCATGTTAACTGAGCTAAGGTTAAACAGCCGCTG